TTACGACACCCCACTCAAGATTGTATTCATAAAATTTGATAGTGTCTAACACAAGATTTCTTCGGTGAAGGCTCCTTGTTGGCAGTAATAAAACTTGCTTGACCAATAACGGTCCCTCGACGATAGTTGCAATTTCACCAATAATTTAATGATTCTCACCTTATTACTTCTAGGCATATTGCCCACTAGCAGATGCATTATTGATGTGTAGGATCTTACTTTGAATGAATTGGGCTAGTTACCCTTGCCAAATTAGCTTTTCGATCTCTTCCTTGAATTAGAACAGGCTTCAATATGATGATCACGACTTCAATGGAAGTGATAATATTGTTCCTAATTCTCTGCATTCAGCTTCAACAGAGGTGACCACCTAAGAGTTTCCTTGTTTTGAATCGCCATCAGGATATTGCCACGTTAAGTTTTGAGCAGTGTATATTCCTTGCGGGCCAATATTAACATCTCTGCCATTAAGGGTGCAAATCAAGGTTTTGCTTGTGGTTCGAACTTTTGCTGAGTTGACTGAGCAGTGTCTATGGTTTTTTTCTTATGCTTTCTTGACTATGAATCAAATTTATTTTTATGCGTATTAGTAGCTTCGTCAGAAGTAATTTGTGTCTTGACACAATGAATGAGGTCAGCGTATGAACGAAGCGTCTCTCATATCAAAGATGAGTAGAAATGACCAAGGTGTAGTCCCCCCAAGAACACACTTATCAGTAACTCTAAATCTACTCCCAAGTTATGACGAGCTTAAATGGAGAATCGTAGGAAATAATCCTTCAATGATTTCTACTTTGATTGAACCCGAAGATTTGAGAGGATTCTTTAATGATCCTCCAATTTCAACATGTTAGTGAGCTCATCGAAGGTATGAATGCTCTTTCTTGGAAATGAGTATAACCAAGTGAGTGTTTGGCCTTTTAGGATTTGCTGGAGAAAACCCGACAAAAGAGAGCATCAATAGCTAGAATGTGCCTGATGGTTTTGAAGTGATCCACATGTTTATAGGTGTCAGAAGTCCCATCATAACCATTAGTGCTCGAAAGCTTAAACCTATTGGAAACAAGGTGTTGACAAACGATCTCTGCTAGCGGAGAAGGCTCCTCGAATTCACGGCGAGCTGAGAAATAAATAGCATGCCATGGTGCGTAGTCTAGATAAAGTACTCCGTTTTATCTCTCATTGGGAACTCTTCAAGGACTAGATGTCGTAACTCTTCATGAATTGCTTGAGGTTGAGCTACATTCTTCACACATGTCGGGGGCTTTCTGTTAGTTTTGGGTTTAAGGGGGTGGATGTGTAAAGCTAGCAGTGTCCATGAGTTCAATCTTTTGAAGGGTAGCTTCAGTACGCGGAGGTGTCAACTGCGTACCTCTCGTTAGAGGATCTTGATGTAGTTGTGCCATTCCCGTATGTTCAACAGTAGGAGTCAAATCATCTCATTCTAAGATTCATACATTTTTCGTACACGATCTTCAAGGGGCACCAGCAAGATGACGTGTATCATTGGGAATTAGAGTATATGCTTTGCATCTCGAACTTTGATATTGCACACTAGACTAATTGGCATTAGAGTGAGAAGTGTGTGTATTGCGAGCCATCGATAAAGTGTAAACTTATAGCAATGAGATTTTGTTTCCTATAGAAGACACCAAACTCTACGTGTAAGAAGATTCAATATACACACATAATAGAAAAAATAGCATGTAGAGACCAAATTTTTTTTTGTGCAAAAACTTGAAAGGGAAAAATGCCATGGTGCGTAGTCTAGATAAAGTACTCCGTTATAAGTGAGTTATTACGAATAATGCATCATTTTCCTACAAAGCAGTGTTACAATCCTACATCAAGTACAACACTTTCGTGTACAATGTACGAAAAGCTTTAGGAATCTGAAAAGACATTCTGAGTGCGGTGGTTATAGGTAGTTGCCAGAAGCTATCACATGATCTATAATATAGTGTTATACATTACACCGTATTTGAGATGGATCGGTACATTATATTTAGGACATTTCGTTACACAATATTTGGGAATATGTCGTTGAACAATAGAGTTCGCTGAAGGCGATGAACAAGGGGCTGCTGGCAGTAGTCAACAATGGCTGAAAGTTATTGAGATGCTTAATTTTAATATTGTTACATAAAATTTTGAACTCATTTGACCATCCTCAAATTAACTACCCAAAGTCTCAAAAAGAAGTTTAACATTTTGATCCGGGTTTGATTTGGCTTGGATTGGATCAAATTTGGTATCATTGGGTTTGCCTCGTTGAGCTGGTCAGTTTGGTTATAAGTTTGTTGAAATTAGAGTTCGTTCTAAAAATAGAAAAAACAGAAAAATATATTAGATACTTAAATAAAAAGCCTAACAGTATCAAAATAAATAGTATAAGGTGGCTAGAGAGCGACCCAATTTGGTCTTGCCTCTAGTTTTAGGGAAGGAGCAAGCTAATAAGCTGGTAAGATGATCGCTATAGCCAGTAGTAATCAATGTATCATCCAATATGTTCCCAAGTTGGAGTCGGTCTCCATTCTTCTTCTTCCTCTTGGAATAAACCTGTCATTCCTCATCCGAAGAATCAATCTGATGGGGTGGTAGAGCTGAAGCAGGAATACTAACCGTAGTACCCACAATAGATTCTACTATATGTGAAGTATGAGTCGCCTCAACACCAGATACTTCATGAAGAAGTGGGGCTACGATGTTCTCCTGATTATCAGTCTGAAAACTATCATTTGTAGGTAATAATCCATCAGTATTGTTTTCTATAGGGTCTGAAGGGGTCAGCCTCACCTCACTCTTGGGGGGGGGGGGTCTTCAGTTGCAACAGACACCTCCTGTCTGCTAGTATCCTCTCCAGGTGGAACTAAAATGTCCAAAGCAGTGGGTTAGACCCATCCTTATTCACTTGAACTTTATGTTTCAAATTTGGATGAAACTTGTGGCATTTATCAAGAACATGACCAAAAATCTTACAGTGGGTACAATATGGGGGCTTGTGCTTCATGATGATTTGTTGCCAATAACTATTATGGGTTGTGCCCAGTCAGACTTCAGTAACATTAGGTAAAATTAGGTAAAGTAATATTCCCTTTCCACAAGTATTCTGGCCACCGAGGGTCTGATTAGGTTGAAAGTAGGTAGATCTAGCTTCAAAGGATCTCCAAAGATGACCCCAATAGAATAAAAAACCTGATGGTGAAAAAAAATTAGCTTGAGACCAGGTAAACTAAACCATACCGGTACAGTGGGAGTCTCATAATTTGGGTCAAAATCAGGAAACCACTTGAGTAGCTTCATAGGTTTACAGGCGATGATATGACCGGCGATGTTAAGATATTTTCTGGGGAAAATACAAGTGTAGTCCTCAGGCACGGTTAACTGAATCAATACATGTCTCCCATCCATGAGCCTCACTTTCCGCTTTCCTGTTAATTTGAGGTCATGAAAACTTTTCATGATAATTTCCCTGATGGGTGTCCCCACTGAAATTTTTCAATAATAACAAATTTGAATTTGTCAGTCAGCGTTGAAATTTCTGATGTGGAGAAAAAGAGTGTTGCCTTTTCACTTTGCTTGCATTCCTAATAAAGGGACAGTCACCTGTACCATTACGATGCTTCTTATAACTTGAAGGGAAGACAACTGTTGTCTTTCTCTGAGATTTACCCACCACGTGGGCAAATGAGGAGGTTTTGATAGGTTCAATTGAAGAAGGAAGCTCCATCAAAACAAAGAAAAGTTGTTAAAGTCGGGCAGAGGCAAAAAAAAAAACAAGCCGAAGAGCTGCGCAGGAACCGCAGATGAAATGCGCAGAAGACAGAAGACAGGGAACGAAGTCACAGCTCGACAGAAATCGCAGCTCGATCCGCATAGAAAAGAACCGCAGAAGCTCGATGGCTAGCTGGAAGGCGCGAAGGAGGAGATGACGAAACCGCAGAAGCAGATGCCGAAGCCCTTTGTCGTTTGGCGCGAGAGAGAAGATGACGATTCGTCGTCGAGTGCGGGAAACTTCATCGTCGAGTCAGTAATCAAACCTGGGTTTTGCCGTCGGACGAAACCCTAGTAGAGCAGTCTTCTCCCTTTCTCTGAGACATATATGCATATATGTAAAAATCGGAGTTTAGGTTTTAGATAAGCGGATATATAAAAATTGAGTGGTACGTTTGTATATCATCCTTTTTTAAATAATTTTAATCTTAGACCTCTACTTTCGAAATCAAAGGCAATAGTACCACTTCATCAAATACTTTGTGGCTCAATCTGTGCTTCTTATCATCCATCTTAATTATCTTTTCTTGCACATTGCACGTCTTTGGTTATTTATTTGTTTTTCTTTTTTGACATCTTTTAAAATTTTAATGACATATATTCCTCCATTTTTCTGTATGAAAATTTCCCAGAACTATGTTTTTATGCAATTTCTAACCTGTGCATGTTTCATTGATTGTGTCGATACATTGCTTGGATTTATCTTGAAAAATAGGTAAAATCTTTGCAAATATGGATAACAGAAAATAACATAAAACAGAAAAGAGATCAAAATATACGTATACAGGTCTACTTTTGATTATAGGGAATTACAATCCTAAATTTTGAGATACGAACCTAAGATGGCATTCCCCTACTTCTAACTAAATGAGGGCATTCCTAATAGTAAAATTTTCAAAACGTTCTAAATGAAATAATCATTTTAGAAAAGGGGCCTTCAAATACATTCCACGCAATTCTTATGTATTTACATATCTAAGACCTAAACATTCATATTTACATGATGTCAACTCAAATATTTAATATCACATAAAAAATACCACCATTACTATCATTTTAATTCATTCATATATTTATGACACCAAGATGTTGTAAGCATTAATATCTAAACTTATGTGTTAGATATGTATATACACAAGCATTGTATGGTCTGTATGTAAAATTTTTGTTAAAAATTTATCAGGCCTGATAACTTAATTTGCTCATCTTGCCGTGCCTTATTCCAGGTGGATCGCAAACTATCACGAACATGAAACCCTTCTACAAGAGAACGAAGATGAGCGACTATCGAAGGAGGAACAAGAGATGGCTTGGGTTAGTTTTCAAAGATCTCTCAAATGGGAAGAGGTTCATAGGGTAAATTATGACGAAAATATGGATAGAAAATCGTCGACCCCTCAAGTTTCTTCGGTAGATCCTCCAGCTCTTCCTCCTTTTCCACCTGCTCATCCTCCCCAACAAAGCAAAGGAAGCTCAAGAAGCCATCAATCTTCCCATCAGAGAAAATGTAGTAATCTTGATCATTTATTAACTTTAAGAAGCAAGGGAATCAAATCAGGTTCAAGCACTGGTTGTGAGAAATGCTCTCAAGAGATCAGTTGGGAAAACCTTAATAGGGATGGGAAAAACAGATAATATATTTTATATATATATATA